TTTTCACTGAATCTATCATATATTTAATATTATGACCTGAATGAATTTTTGCATTATGATTGCTTCCATTTGTGCCACTGACCAACACGAAATCAACAAGAGCTTAAATCTTTGGCCGTGGCCTCATAAATAGCATTTATTCATTATACAAGGGAAATACACAATAACATGGGAAGAAAAATACCAGAATACAAAAAAAAATGGGCAAACATTTATAAAACATTATATCAAGAAGTTGCTGTGGATATCTTAAAAAATAATTATGAAATGGTAGAATTGGACCATGGAGCATTTAGCAGTTACCTCAACGAACGGAAGGACTCCTGGAAGTTAAATGTTTTCAAGGTGAGGAGAGATATGCAATGAAAAGAGAGATGATGTGTAGTCCAAGTAAAATAAAAAGAATGTCAGGTATAAAAGATGATTATACATCTTTTATACATTAACATTTATCTTTTATACATTAACTTGAGACACAGAGAAAAGTTTAATGATGTTTTACATTATGGATGCAGCAGAATAAAATCTGTAACTAGAACGCACTTAGTAAAGACATATTACTACTGTCACGGTATATCTAAACTTTTCATTTCTGGCTTATTGCTTCTGAAACCAAAACAAATGTATTGCATATTCTCACATACTTACCCCTCTAACATGACCAAGTTTCCGCTCAACTTCTGCTTTTTGTTTTTTAAGGAATTCACACATTTCCTTCAAATCACTTACTTGATTCTAAAAGATAAAAGCAAAGGTAATAATTTAACATAGCTATAGCTATTGAAAAGGAAAGGCAAACAATCCATCTGAACTATCATCCTCTTCAACTGTACAGCCAAACTAAAAAACTAGGTCTCTAGATCAACAAGGAAGATTTTGCACTACGACATATGTTAAATTAATAGAAGAATATTTTCTAAATGAAATGTCAAGAAATACTTTCTACATTGTTGCCATAGTACACAATATAAACTTAGAGCTCTGATTTTAACTGTTCCCTAAATTACACATGTAGATCCTTATCCATGCAGTAGAGAGAAAAAGACAACTGAACTTTTAACACTCATTCTATCAGTGTAAAAGTCAGAATGAGAAGCAGGAAATAATTTAATTATATCACACCAGTGGAATTAACAGACTGCCAATATCCCATAATAGAAAATAAAACTGAAACAATTAGCTAGCCAAGAGAACAAACGATTCCCTTAAGTAAGATTTGGAAAACCAATGCTAAAAAGACTTAATATCAAAATAAAGAAAGTAAAATTTCTAAAATAAACAATTATCCCAATGTTTTTAAAGTATGACAACTGTTAATGAAATATACCAAGTATCCTCCCACCTCAGGGCATTTTAACTTGGTATTTCTCTTGTCTGGGACTCTTCTTCTAGTATCTGTATGACCCACTTCCTTACCTTTCCCCTAGCTCTCTGTTCATCTATCACCTTATTAAGGAAGCCCTCCCTTACTGTCCCTTTTTAAATCATATCCCTCCTCCCTCCACACCCTTCACATCAATCATGCTTTATTTCTCTCCTTATCATTAACATCAGCTGACATACTACATATCTGACTTGTTTACTTGTTTATTATCAATATTGTCCACTAGAACATAAGTTCTATGAGTGGAAGGATTCTTTTTTGACTGCTGCACTGCTGCTTCTCAGCACCTAGAAGAGTATTTGATACGAAGTAGACCCTCAACAAATAAAAAATGAGCAAACGTACAAAGTATAATACCACCATGATATTTTATGAATATGCATTTTATTTCTTTTCTTCATAAGGTAATATAAATAAACATAACAAATAAGGCAGAAGAAATTTCAGGCTTAGATTTCCTAACTACATAAACATTAAAGTTTACCTTTAATCTTGGCAAATCTTTACATGCTTGTTCAAGCTGAAATTTCAGTTCAATATTTTCAGATGATAACTTCAAGTTTTCCCTCTGAAGCTCCTGTTCTCTTTGACAATGATCATCTGACTCTATTCCTGCAGTCTTCAGGAAAATGAAATTAGGAATGTTTTTAAAGTTTAAGAAATAAAAAACTGCAAAAGACAAACTGGATAAGAAAATACTATGTTAAAAGGGAACTTTTCTCTCAAAGGAATATGAGAAAATTGGAGAGCTCCAGAGAAAGCCAAAAATAAAAACTAGAATATAAAACTTTCATGAGAAAAGGTAATGTCATTTATTTTGATTAAAATAGAAAGCAAAGTCAAGCATGGCTAAATAATGTCCGCACATAGGCTTAATATATAATCTCGTAATGGTTAAACTAATTTATGGTGGTTTTACTAGTCTAAAATAAAGTATGATTGTTACCTGTTATGGGTTGAATTGTGTTCCCCACCACCACTGAATTCATGTTAAAGCTGTAACTCCCAGTACCTCAGAACGTGACCTTATTTGGAAACCGGGTCTTTACAGAGGTGATCAATGTAAAATTAGGTCATTAGGGTGAACCCTAATCCAATATGATTGGTTTCCTTATCAAAAGGAGGAATCTGAGAATTTGGACACAGAGACATGCAGAGAGGGAAGATGATGTGAAGAGACAGGGAAAAGATAGCCATGTATAAGCCAAGGAGACAGGCTTCGGAAAGATCTTTCCCTTACAGCCTTCAGAAGGCACCAACCCTGCTAACAACTTGATTTTGGACTTCTAATCTCCAGAACTATGAGACCATAAATTTCTGTTGTTTAACCTACTAAATCTGCAGTACTCTGTTATAACAGCCATAGTAAACTAATACATTATGTGTTTTTGACTACAACAAAAAGAACTGCCTCAATTCTTTATTCCTTCAGAAACCTTTTCCTTAGTCTTTGAGCTAATATAATTGTTACCTCTTCTGAAATCCATTAACAGTATATTTGCATATCTCTTGACATGAATCTACCTTGGGTTATTATTTATGTTCATTTTTACTTCTTATTCTAAACTATGTGTTATTTGAAAGAGAAATCTGTGCCTGATTATTTTTTTCTATGCATTGGGTAGAATACGATATATCTCCAAGGATTGCTAAAAGCATCATATGAAATAATTTTGTAAAATTACTTGGCATGACTTTAGTTTTTTCTCCCCAACCCCTTTCTGTCTCTACTGGCTCAATCAGCTATAAAATCAATAACTTTACCAATACTATAGTTCTTAAATATATTACTAAATATACCTATTATATATTATGCATGGCTCTGTAATATCTCTTGAATTAACAGTAGGTTAAATACTTTACATTATAGTTCTGATATACACACCCTTAGGTTAAAAAAGA